AATTTAATTTTATGCCGATTAATTAATTTATATGTATAATATTTATTTACATTTTAATTTAATACAATAATTATGAATAAAGATAAAAAAATAAAATTTTTTGAATGTTCAGCCATAGAATACAAAAATGCAATAAAGTTAATTTAATTAATTAAATCTATTGTCCATTAATGTATTAATTAAGAGTTTGAATAATAAATACAGGTCACTCCCGTTATAAGAACACTCATGGGATGAGCAAAAAATGTCCATATAACAAGATGTTACATGACTTGAAAAATTTTTTTAGAAATTATTAATTTAATTTAAAAAATTTAAAATCAACATTTTAGCAAAAGTTTACAATTATAATCATTAATGATTAAAAGTTTAGAAAAACCGGTTTTAAAAATTGCAAAAATTTTGGTGTAAGTATTGGATAATTCATAATTCTTGTTTGAAAACGTCATCAAAAAAAACAATTGTGAATAAATTTCTTTATTGTCAATGTAAAATATTTCATCGCTGTAAGTATTTCATCATCATCAAAAAACAATAAGAAGAGATCAATAAAAAACGTAAAGATACTTTGTTATGATTCACAAACCTATTCTTGAAAATAATAGATACTTTGTCACCACCAAAACAATTTGCGAATTGATTATTGTTAATTTTAGTGTTAATAATAATAAACTTGATGTAAGTAATTTATGATTAATGTGTTTAGTATTGGTAATATTAAAACATTAAAAACAACGTAAATAATTAGAATTTATTGTTATCTGATTTTGTCATAGTGATTGATTGGTTCTTTTGCCACTATAACGGGATAAATTTTATAATTATAAAAAAAATTTTTGTCCAATTATGTCCTTATACTCTTATAACGGGATACATAATGAATGTCATTACAACAGGAGTAAATTTATATTTATAAAGTGTGTTTTTGAAAAAATGTCACTATAACAAGATTGTCACTATAATGAGCTGTCCTTATAACTGGAGTAACCTGTACTAAATACTTTGAGAAGAAAGTATTATTAGACCAACTTCGGGTTATAATAAATAATATGATATCATAAAATTTAATAAATGATAAAGTAACATTTTACGTGTTATATGTAATACATATTAATGATAATAATTTGGAATTGCATAGTTTGTAATTTTACTTGTTTACAACAATAAAAGAATGCAAACATGTTTTTTTCGTGTCAATTCACTGATTCAATGTCAAGATAGTGGTTATTATATTATTTATTTTCTATTTTATTACGCAAAAAAAAACAATATGTACATTTATATATATAAATTCAACCCAAAAAAAAATTTAATATTAAATTCACCTCACCACTCGGCAACCAACAAATCAATAAAAAAAAATTTAAATATTAAAAATTCACCTTGCCACTCGGCAACCAACAAATTCAACCCAAAAAAAAATTAAATATTAATTCACCTTGCCACTCGGCAACCAACAAATTAATAAAAAAAAATTAAATATTAATTCATCTTGCCACTCGGCAACCAACAAATTAATAAAAAAAAAAATTAAATCCTTGCCACTCAGCAACCAACAAATTAATAAAAAAAAAAATTTTTAAATCCTTGCCGCTCGGCAACCAATGAATATTAATAAATAAATAAAAAACAGAGAGAGAGTGAGTGTGAGTGTGAGAGTGAGTGTGAGAGTGAGTGAGTGTGAGAGAGAGTGAGAGAGAGACAAATTGAAGAAATATCTATTTGCCACCCGGCAACTAAAAAATGTCCGAAATAATTAAAAAAAATCACCCAATAAAAATTTTTTTGTGCCCAAAATCAAAAATTAATGTTTTTAACAGTGTTACTCCTGAAATTTACCCAATGATCTTAATAATTCTTCAGGCCTTAAATACATTTCCTTAAATGGGACCTCGCATGGTGAATAAGTACAGACGTTATCGTCACCTGATCCTCCATGTAAATTGTTCCAGCATCTTTTGCACAAATTCTGGTATGATTTTTTGATATTTGGACACTCCGAATATTTATGGCCGTAATAATAACATACATAGCAGGGTTCCTTGTATTTTAGAGTAGGAGCTACCCAATTTGTTTTTCTTGATAATTGCACCCCTTTTGCAGTGTATAAAATATTTGGTGGTTTTGGTGATGACGACATTTTTTTTTCTAATGCTAGAGCATTACTTCTTGTGATTTCTAAAACATCCTTGTGTAATGTCATTAGTTCTTTGAATGACATTGAATTAACTTCCTCATAATCAGAGTCGTCACACATAATGAAAGTAGAACAACGAATTTTTTGTTTGTTGTTGTTGATTGTTGTTGATTGTTGTTGTTGACTGTTGTTGTTGATTGTTGTTGTTGTTGATTGTTGTTGTTGATAAAGATGTTGATAAAGATGTTGATAAAGATTATGATGACAATTATGATGACAATTATGATGCCAATTATGATGCCAATTATGATGCCGCCAATTATGATGCCACCAATTATGATGCCGCCAATTATGATGCCGCCAATTACAATTATGATGCCGATTATGATAATTAGTAATATTCCTTTGAAATGGTAATAAATTTTTTTTGATTGTTGTTGGTTGTTGTTGTTGATTGTTGTTGTTGTTGATAAGGATTATGATGATGATTATGATGATGTTTATGGTGACGTTTATGATGACGTTTATGATGATGACGTTTATGATGACGTTTATGATGACGTTTATGATGATGTTTATGATGACGTTTATGATGACGTTTATGATTTTCCTTTGGTGATAGTAATAAATTTTTTTTGATCGTTGTTGGTTGTTGTTGTTGATAAATTTTTTTTGATATTTCTTAGGAAAAGAAAAAAAATTGGCTTGCCAAAAAATCAAACAACTTGGAAAACAGAGAACCAAAAAAAACGATGACAATGATGACGAGTAATATTTCTTTGGTAATAAATTTTTTTTAATACTTCCAATTGTGAAAGAAACGATTATTAGGCAAAGAAAAAGAATTGGCTTGCCAAAAAATCAAACAACTTTTGGAAGACAGAGAACCAAAAAAAAAAACCTACGTAAAAAAAAGGTAAAACAATGATGATAATAAAGATGGTGGTTATGATTATGATGGCGATTAGTAAAATGGTGATGGTAATAAATATTTTAATATTTAAAAAAACAAAATGTTTGAAAACGATGTAAAAAAACTTGTAAAAAAAGTTTCTTGGATAATATATGATACATACATACATACATACATACATATATATATATATATATATTAATATTAATATGTAAAAACAATTCCTTAAATATATTCCTTAAATATATTCCTTAAATATGTTGCACCAAATTAAGTACATATAAACAAATATGTTACGTGTGTGGGCTCCTCCCAAATAATTTGTTATGTAATACCAATGTTTATATTGCCATACCCTCTCCCACCCATTAAAAAATATTACATAATTATTTGTAGGAAGTTTATAAATAGAAATGACAAAATAACTCATGAAAATAGGGGGAAACAAATCACGCAATTTTGAACAAAATGATACAACACATTTCTGGTATATAGAACAAGCCAAAAAGTCTTCCATTCCTAGATATCAAGCCATTGATGTTTTTGGTATAATAAGCCACTGCAAGCCTTGTGTAATTCCAAATAAGCCATTGATGCTTTTAGCATATATTTTCAACAAAGAATATTTGATTAGGAATTCAAATAATTTCAACATTTGCAATAAATCATTTATTATACAAAATCAGTTTAAAATACAAAAAATATTGGCAATTCAAGTTTTTTTATGTGAATTTATCAAATTGCCATCCAATTGTGTTTCAGACATGTGATCTACCCTTTCGTTTTATTTCTTTATTATTATTATAATTTGTGTTTTTTATATATATTTGTTAATAATTTATTTCTTATAATAATAAATATTTATATTTAGTAATTTATTATTTCTTATATTAAAATCAAAATTAGTGGATCAAAAATAATTAATTTTAAAAGAAAAGATTAACAATTATATTATTCAAATGAACTTATATATGATCTTTAAAAGTCAGACCAAAAAAATTTCAATTGGTAATTAAACCATGTTAACAAGTCTTGATATCATAATAAAAAATGCTGGCTGCAAAAACTTTTTAGGCAAATTAATTATTTTAATTGTATAATGAAAAATAGTTTACAAAGGATCAATGATTAATTATTTTACAAAGGATCAATGATTAATTATTTTAATTGTATAATGATAAATAATTTACAAAGGATCAATGATTAATTATTTTAATTGTATAATGATAATAGTTTACAAAGAATCAATGATTAATTATTTTAATTGTATAATGATAAATAGTTTACAAAGGATCAATGATCAATTATTTTAATTGTATAATGATAAATAGTTTACAAAGATCAATGATTATTGTTTTTCAAGAATGGCAATATTCTATACTTGATAATGATTTATTATTATTATTCAAATGGTTGGTTTTAAACTATAAATACAAGGTGTTTTTGAATCAAATCATTTCAATATTCAATTATAACACTCTAAAAAAAATTTCATCCTCTTCACATATATTTGTAATATTTATTATTTATTAAACACAAGATATTTTTGAATTAAATC